CTCTCTCTCTCTCTCTCTCTCTCTCTCTCTCTCTCTCTCTCCTCCCTCCACTCCCATGAGGGCTCTAGGGATTAAGCTATGTAATTCTTAGGCTTGGCAGCAAACACTTTTGCCCAATGAGCCATTTCACTGAAACCTGAGAACATAAATTTTTTTTTTAAAAAAAGTTTGTTTATGTATGTATGCATGCATGTGTGCACACACGGGTGAGGAGGTCAGAGGAAGTATGGACAGCCTGTTTGTCCTGGCAATAGAGCTCTGATGGTCAGGCTGGGTGGCGGGTACTTCCCCCTGCTGAAGCATCTCCATGACCCAGAGGACTTCATTTCTTTCCTAATCACGTGGTCTTGTGAGTCTCCTTTCCCAGGCATAAAGGGGCTTTTAAGACGTTTTCTGTTGCTTGTGTTGGGAGCAAAGCACTAAGGTCCTTGGGCCCACAGATCTCCAGAGAAACCAGGACGGCAAGCATACAGGATTGTCTTTCCAATGGGAAAGATGAAAAACCTGTTCTTCCACCCAGAAAGCAGCCTGGCAACCTGTGTTATCTTTTGGGCCAGGACTGGAGGTGGCTAGTAATCTAAATGACCCTTAGAGCCAGGGGCTCCTCTAACTTCCACAACCAGGACCAGAGATTCCGTATAGTCTAAATGACCCTACATTATCTGTATAGCCAGAAGCTCCCCAAGCTCCTACAACCAGGAATAGAGGTAGCCCAAATGACCTCTATACTGTATGTGTGACCAGACTCTAACTTAAACCCTTAAGCCCATACAGGTACCCTGTCTCCAGAAAGCATCTTCTTGGAAGAAATGACATGTACCCTGAGTCAAATGTTGATGTAATTTATGCTTCCTTGCTTCCTTGTGCACCAGGGGTTGTAATATGCCAAAACCTTTTCCAAATTATACTGTGTTTAAATTTGTTGGGAACAGAGCTGGAGTTATGGCTCAGAGGTTGAGAGCACTGGCTGCTCTTCCAGAGGACCTGGGTTCAATTCCCATCACCCACATATCAGCTCACAACTGCCAGTAACTCCAGAATCTCACACACACACGCACAGAGAGAGAGAGAGAGAGAGGCAGGTGAAGCACCAGTGCACATAAAAGAAAACTAAATAAGTTATTTTTAAAAACTATGTTGGATTAAACTGCAGGTTCCCTGGAGTCTTGACCCAGAGTGAGGAAGCCGATCTGAACCGAGTTTCCACTCTCATCTCTTCACGTTCACTGTTCACTTCCCTGCCTGCTGGGTCCCTTTCAAGTTTGTTTGTCTAAAATTTTATGGGCTAGAGAGATGGCTCAGACTTTAAGAGCACTGACTGCTCTGCCAGAGGTCCTGAGTTCAATTCCCAGCAACCACATGGTGGCTCACAGCCATCTGTAATGAGATCGGGCACTCTCTCCTGGAAAGTGTATATATAATAAATAAACAGATTTTTTGAAAATACTTAAAATTTTATGTGAATGGGTGTTTTGTCTGCTTGTGTGTCTGTGCACCACGGGCATGCTTGGTGCTCACAGAGGCCAGAAGAGGCTGTTAGATCCCCTGAAACTGCAGTTACAGGAGATTGTGAGCTGATTTAGGTCCTCTGGAAGAGCATCCAGTGCTATTCACCACTGAGCTGTTTCTCCAGCCCCCAAAAGGGGCATTTTAAGAACTCAGAAAAAAAAAATAGAGAAAGAGAGAGAGCTCACAAAAGCAGTCCATTTTATAAGGTGTTTTCAGGTGTACTACATAGTTGGTTTTACTGATTCTATTCTCTGTTCTTCTTTTTGTTGGGCAGTTTAGTGGGAGGCATGGATTTTTGAATGGAAATGGCCCCATAGGCTCATCGGCTGTGTCATCATTTAAAAGAATTAGGACAGGTAGAGCAAGTGTGGCCTTCTTGGAAGAAGTGTGTCACTGGGGATGGGTTTTAAGGTTTCAGAATCTCAAGCCAGGCCCAGTGGCTCACTTTCTCTTCCTGCCACCTGCCAATCCAGATGCAGAACTCTCAGCGCCTTCTTCAGCACCATGTCTGCCTACACACCACCATGCTTCCCACCATGACAATAGCGAGCTAAACCCCTTAACCTGTAAGTCAGCACAATTAAATATTTTCTTTTATAAAAGTTGCTGTGGTTGCCAAGCAGTGGTTTAATCCCAGCACTTGGGAGGCAGAGGCAGATGGATCTTTGTGAGCTCAGGGCCAGCCTGATCTATATAGTGAGTTTCAGGATAGCCAGGGCTACACAGAGAAATCCTGTCTTGAGAAAAAAGCTTTTTTAAAAAAGTTGCTGTGGGCCGGGCGGTGGTGGCGCACACCTTTAATCCCAGCACTCGGGAGGCAGAGGCAGGCGGATCTCTGGGAGTTCGAGACCAGCCTGGTCTACAGAGCTAGTTCCAGGACAGGCTCCAAAGCCACAGAGAAACCCTGTCTCGAAAAACAAAACAAAAAAAAAGTTGCTGTATTATGGTGTCACTTCACAGCATTAGGTCACTGACTAAGACAGGAGGACACTGTGATGACATCACTAAGACAGGAGGACACTGTGATGACATCACTAAGACAGGAGGACACTGCTGGGGACACGGGAGCAGCAGCTGAAGCTCGCGGGCATTCCATAGACGATGATGATACCGGAAGTGAACCCTGGCTCGTCCTAAGTGTTCTCCCTCCTCTCCGTGCTGCCTGCCCCTGGAGAATTATTCTGACTTAACGAGACTCCTAATGGCTTCTTGAAGAACTGGGCAAAAGAAGCAGGCCTTCTCTGAGGCCACTGGTGGTGATGGTAGACAAAGCCCACCAAATGCATGCCAGGAAAAGCTAAAATTCGGCATGTGGTTGGGCCACCATCTTCACGATAATAAAATCACCATAGGGATTATTTTCTTCTTGGGCAAACTCAGATTTGATTGTTTCTTGTTTCAGAGGCCTGTAGCCTTGAATTTTGTGCTCAAGGATGACCTTAAACACTCGACCATCCTGTCTCTACCTCCTAAGTATTTGCATTTATGTGGATGGAATTCAGGGTCGGGCAAACACTACCAGCTAAGCTATATCCCCATCAAACTGGGAGTTTTGTTGGATGGCAAAAAACAAACAAACAAAAACCACAACAGATCTTTAAGTAATCATTTCTTTCCATAAATCAGAACGCCTTCGCAGAGCTAACACGTGCGCACGCATGCACAAACACACACATACACAGAGAGAAAGTGTGTGTATATGTGTGTGTGTGTAAGCACGTGTTCATATAAGAAAGTAAATTTATATTAATGAACATAAGTGTGTAATATTCTACCAACCACAGATTCCTTAGGGTTCAGACTACTCATCCGAAACGCAAAGCCTTTTGGTTAAGAAACAAATTAACAGCATAAACGTAACAGTTCTGGGAACTGACTGCTTAGGGGCTAGTGTTGGCTTCAGAGCCACCTGCAGCATTACGGGTAGAGCATAAAGAGCTTTATGATGAAGGCCCTGCAAGTGAGCACAGCGTGGAGGGACCTTGTGATGGTGGAGTGAGAATGTCCCCATAGGCTCTTGGATTTGAGTGTTTGGTCCCCAGCTGGTGGCGCTATTTGGGAAGGATTAGGAGCTATGGCCGTATTGTAGCCACTGTGTGACTGGGGGCAAGGATGGGCTTTGAGGTTTCGAAAGCACACACCATTCCCAGTTACCCCTCTCTCGTGTGTCAAGTGTAAGCTTTCAGCTCACTGATGGAGCACCATGCCCGCCCACCTGCAGCCACACTCCTCGCCATGACAGTCGCAGACTTCTGTGAGCCTTTGAATTAAGTGTTTTCTTTTATAAGCTGCCTTGGTCCTGGTGTCTTGTTACAACAATAGAAAAGGAACTGAGACAGACCTGGAGGTAGTCAATGAGCACGAAAAGGCAGTATCGGGGAACTGGGGAGTCCCAGCACTGGGGAGGCAGAAGCAGGCAGATCTCTATGAGTTCGAGGCCAGCCTGGGCTACAGAGCGAGTTCCAGGACAGCCAGGGTTACACAGAGAAACGTTGTCTTGAAAAACCAAAAGAGAAGAAGAAGAAGCAAGAAGAGAGAAAGAAAGAAAAAAACTGTTCTGAGCTGTGTACTCCAGAAAGAAATGAAAAGATGAAAAAGAAACTAAAGTCAACGTGAACCTACCTGCTCGGCAGTTCTGAAGACCGGGGTGAGAGATCATTTCTGCCCCCCGTTTCCAGACTGTCTGCTCAGCAGAGTCTGACTCCAGTCTGCAGCAAGGGCTTGAGGATGCTGCTACTACCACTGGTGTATTGATCTAGCCTGGAACTCTGTAGACCAGGCCGGTCTTGAACTCACAGAGATCCGCCTATCTTTGCCTCCCTAGTGCTGGGATTAAAGGTGTTTGTCACTATGCCTAGTCATGTTTTCCATTTTAATGTACGTTCATTTAACAAAGTTTATTCTTGGAACAGCAGAATCCGGCTAAGAAAATAGACAGATCACAAATCTGTAAAGCTTATGAAACAATGTCTCTAAAAACTCTCACTGTGCATAAAAGTTTTCATTGAGTAGAAATGACCTCTTAAAGAGACACCGTCCCATTTCCCATTTCAGGCATTTCCAAATGTTAACAGCTCCTTTAAATGGAGCCGAATCATCTTCTCTGCTTATCTACAACAATTCGCGGATGCACTTTCTCCTTACAGCAACCTTTTAATATTTTAAGAGTTCTCATGACCCCTGACCTCCAAATGATGCCTTATCTGGCAATACAACAATTATTAGGCAGGGCTCTCTGGAGGGAGAGAACTGCTAGTACGAGCACACATATGGCAGCAGATTTACTTGGCTTACAGAAAGAGGTCCTGGCAGACTAGCAATGGCGGTCTCACACCGGAGACAGTCAGAAGCTGAGAAACCCGGGGCTGCTCAGAAATGCAGAGGCTTCAAGTCTCAGTATTTCCAGTCTGGTGCTGAAGACCTCAGGGATTTCTGCATAGCCACTCTCTGCGTTAGAAGTCTGAAGAAGTTGGTCCTAACACCAACAAAGGGATACCACAGCAGCAAGACTGAAGGACTATCCGGAGGAATGAAAGCAAACAAGCAAAAGGCGGTTTCCTCTACCACATCCATTTATCTGGGCGGACACCACATTTCGGGTGGGTCTCTCTGTTCAAATAATCAGATCAAGAAATTCCTGGCAGGCAAGCCCAGCGACTTGTGTTTAGTTAATTCTACATGTAGTCACGATGACAACCAGGATAAACCATTTCAATGACCTATAAAACAGCTCCGACTGTCTGACCTAGTAATTCCAGAATGTAAAATATGCCAGATAGGAACAGCTCAAAATAAGGAGTAAACTTGCACAATGTGTGTTATCCTCTCCTCTGCACAGCAGAGAAAAACTTAAAATAATGCAAACTCTCTAAAGAAATGACGGGCATCTTACTTGAGGTTTTACTGGAGAGCATGTTTGAAAATCTTGGTTTTTTTTGAGACAGAGTCTTCCCATGTAGCAAAGGTTGACCTTGTATCTGCCATGTAGCTCAGGTTGGCCTCGAACTTACAATTCTTCTGCCTCCTGAGTGCTGTGGTTATAGGTATGGACTATTATAGCTGACCTGAGAGTTACCTTAAAGCTTGGGAATGTGTATGAGCAATAGTATATGAAGGAACAGAACACTGGGTTGGAGAGATGGCTCAGCAGTTAACACACTGGCTGCTTCCAGAGGGCCCAGATTCTATTCCCAGCACACACATGGTGACTCACAACCATCCATAGCTCCAGTCTCACAGGATCTACCTTCTGGTCTCCTCAGACACCAAGCGTGTGTGTGGAACACAGATACATATACAGGCAAGACACCTAAATACATAAAAATAAAATTTAAAAAACGTATATTTCTAAATGGAGTACAACTATATAAAAAGATTCATGTGCCCATATATGAACTAAGTACATAACTAACCCCCACTGTCTTCAGAAGCCTTCAGCTGGGCAGTGATGGCGGCACACACCTTTAATTCCAGTACTCGAGACGCAGAGGCAAACTGCCTTCAAGTCACGCCTTCTCCACCTCTCATAAAACAATAAACTTACATCTGACCCATAGATGTACCCTTTTTAAAAGATTTATTTATTTACTATGTACACAGTGTTTTCCCTGCATGTATGCCTGCATGCCAGAAGAGGGCACCAGATCTCATTACAGATGGTTGTGAGCCACCATGTGGCTGCTGGGAATTGAACTCAGGACCTCTGGAAGAGATACGGAGCTCTTAACTTCTGAGCCAACTCTCCAGCCTACACTACTTTGTTTTTAATTCTGTCCTATGTATCGGCCGTTTGAAAATAACAAAACACTAAGAGTCAGATTTGGGAAGGTGGGAAAGAGCTGCAGCTCGCATCCCTAACCCGTTTCTACCTTTCCCAAGTTCCTGCCTCTATCCTGGTCAAGTAACAGTTAGGAAGGATCAGGGGAAAGACAGATATGGCTCCCAACTCCACCAAGTTTATTTTTAGGCTGTATGGAATACAAAGGAATGCTGTCTAAGCAAGAGACAGGGAACAAGCGGACCAATCAGTGTCAGTAAGACAGATGTGAAAGGTGTGCATGGCAGAGAAGAGACGCGTCAGATGGCTCTAAGATGATAGTACTCTAATACAGACCCAAAGCATGAGAGCCAACCGCTAAAACCGCGAAAAGATAGAAGGAAGGGGAGCAGGTCATGCTTACAGAGCTGGAAAGTGGTTGTGGCTGGAGGGTCTCCCGTGGTGACCACACTTCACTTTGGGGCAGGTAGAAAAGAGGCACGAGGGGTGTAAGCAAGTTACCAGCTGCACATGCAGTTGCTACAAGGGGCTACAGGACAGCTTGTGTGTTCACGTGTGCAGGCTACAGGACAGCTTGTGTGTGCACGCGTGTGCACATGTGCAGGCTACAGGACAGCTTGTGTGTGCAGTGTGGAGGATACAGGACAGCTTGTGTGTGTGCATGCGTGGAGGATACAGGACAGCTTGTGTGTGCACGTGTGCAGGCTACAGGACAGCTTGTGTGTGCACGCGTGTGCACATGTGCAGGCTACAGGACAGCTATGTGTGCACGCGTGCAGGCTACAGGACAGCTATGTGTGCACGCGTGCAGGCTACAGGACAGCTTGTGTGTGCACACGTGCAGGATACAGGACAGCTTGTGTGTGCACATGTGGAGGATATAGGACAGCTTGTGTGTGCAGTGTGGAGGATACAGGAAAGCTTGTGTGTGCAGTGTGCAGGATACAGAACAGCTTGTGTGTGTGCAGTGTGCAGGATACAGGACAGCTTGTGTGTGTGCATGTGTGGAGGATACAGGACAGCTTGTGTGTGCAGTGTGCAAGATACAGGACAGCTTGTGTATGCACGCGTGGAGGATACAGGACAGCTTGTGTGTGCAGTGTGCAGGCTACAGGACAGCCTGCGGCTTGGTTTATTCCTCCCACCGTGTGTGCCTGGGGACAGAACTTAGCTGTCAGGCTTGGCAGCAAGCACCTTTACTGACTGAGCCAGCTCATGGGCCCTGACTCATATTTAAAATTTCACGTAGAGAGCAGAGAATGGTTTATTAGAAGGTCAAAGTAGGGTCAGTAGGCCAGTCATGGCATTCATTAGTGGCTGGTTCTGATGGCACCTAGGGCAGAAAAGAAAACAAGTTACAATAAATTTATTTTATGTGTGCATATGTATCACGTGTGTACCTGAAACCCAGGTGTGTCAGAAGAACATAACAAATCAGCTGGAACTGGAGTTATAGGTGATTGTGAACCACCATGTGCATTATGGGAACTAAACCCAGGCCCACTGCAAGAGCAATGAAGGATCTTAACCACTGAGCCATCACTCCAGCCCCATGAGTTATAAGCTCTGAAAGAAATGTTTTGAATCAAATAAAACCAAAAGTAATGAAAAATCACACCAAAACAGAACTGATACGATATGCTATTTGAATACTATTTATTTATTTATTTTTCATTAGAACCACACAGGAAACTTCTCAAGAATTAATTTCACTATTATTCTATACCAAGTCTGGCCCAGACACATTTCTCCTCCTCACTGACTGCCCCCATGTTTTTAATGGAGTGGTGAGGTGGTAGAAAAGATGACAGAGTGGGGTTCTTTAACGGACTTTGACACCTAAAGTTCTAGAACTTACAACTTGGTTAAGAATGAAAACCCTGAAGTCAGACAGCTGGGCCCAGGCCCTGGCTCATCCCCTTTACTGTACTGCATATAGAAAGCTACATAATTTCAACAAAATTAAACTTTTCCTTCTATGAAACAGAAATTTGCTACGTTTCAAAGAACACACACTACATAAAGCACAGAGAAAGGGATCTGTAACGCAGGAGAGGGCCTATTTGAATATCTCCCCATCTCCCTTATCAAAGAGCACACACCTCACAGATTACATTGTACACACATGCAGGTAAGTCATGCCTATGGAGAAAGGGCTGTTTAAGCACACACACACCCCATGTGTTGAGATTCCTCGAGAGAAGGGGTTAGCCTGTTCAAATCTTCTGGATGATTTTCCCATTGTGTGTGTCTATGTCTCACCACCTATGTAGGGAATCTTGGATTCTACCAAATGATCTGGGCATGAGAACCGCTAAGTTCCAGTATGGGAAGGTTCAGTCTTTCCACACCAAGGACAGGTGAGCTAGATTGGAGGCCGTGATGAGCAAGGTTCGTGAAATATCATCTAGAAAAGCTTCCCAAGAAGGTCTCCACAGTCTACTTCAGGGCAGTATTTACCCGGCAGACACCAGGGGGTAGCAAAATCTCATTCTCTTGGCTCCTGGGCATTAATTATAAGGAAAGTGGGGAGTCTAGCTTGACGGAAGATTAGAACCAGTTCCATCTATGCGGGTCTAGCCTATGGTCATAGGGTTCCCCTTCCGGCTCTTCCCTTGAGTTTCTTCCTTCCCCAGACCCGGAGGGGAAAAGGCAGTTTCTCCTGAGGGGAGAAGTGTCATTTGTCACGGAGGCCCTTCCCTCTCCTCGGTGCTGTTGCCCGGGTTCCGTCGTTGCAACCTCATCGGACTGTAACCACCGCTACACATCTTTTACACAAACTTCACCCTCAACCTGCAGTGACAGCACCTTCACGCCCTCTCTGGGAACTGGGTAGCTTTCAGATCGCCTCGCAAAGGTCCACCTTTTGGGCGAGTCCGCTGTGACTCAGAGGTAACCCCTTGCTGTGCTGAGGTCGCCCAAACCCTTCTGGGAGAACCCACCCGTCTTTCATTTCCCACGCAGAAGCGATACTGTTTGTCGGTGGGACATAAGGGGTGAGCCTAGAACTTTTGAAAGGAATCTAGCTCCTTTAGTCTGCAGAGTAAGATAACAGTCACTGCCGAGAACCCTAGCGGTGTCGGGCCACTAATCGCCTTGCAACAAGCCAGATCTAGCTAGCATCAGTACCAGTGTGGGATCCAGGCCAGCAGCTGGGGCCTCCCCTCCTTCATCCTCATACAGGGGTATGAGGTTCAGAAAAAGGCAGAGAGGAGCAACTCCGAAAACGCACTCATACCCTACAGAAGGATCGTGATCCAGGGGCACGACACCCGCCCCCATGCCAAGCCTTTACTTCTCCATAATTCCCCCCTCATACCCCGCCCTCCCCAGGCAGCACACAGAAGCCCATTGTAGTTGTCTGGACTCTCGAGACCCAAGAAGGTGGAAGGGGAAGAAGGGCGGGCAAACGCCCAAGGCTGGGAGATCCCCTACTTTCTCTGCCCTCAACTCTACCTGCGGGGAACCGGAGCGTGTGGGTCGATCTGGGCCCCAGGACCTTGCCAAGCCTGGCCACGGACCGCAGGGAGAAGCGTCATGAGTCTCAGAGATGGAAGAAGGCTTCTGGCCGCTCGACAACCTCGGTCCTAGACGAGAGATCTCTGCAGCGTCCAGAGCTAAGGCTGAACGGATCCCGCAGAGCGAGAAAACGCGGGAAACCAGGGCATCCTCGGCTGGGCGGTTCTCGGAGGGTGCGGGGCGGGGCGGGCTGGCAGCGGGACTGCGAGGGGAGCGGAGGCGAGGCTTGCGACGGAGGGGGCGTCTCGGCTGGGGTCCCGGGCTGGGCGGGGCGGTGCAGGCGGCCGTCTCGGCCCTCCCTGGCGGGGCCCCGCGGCCTGGGCGCCCCAGCGAGTGAGCGAGCGAGCGAGCGAGGGAGCGGAGGCGAGGCTTGCGACGGAGGGGGCGTCTCGGCTGGGGTCCCGGGCTGGGCGGGGCGGTGCAGGCGGCCGTCTCGGCCCTCCCTGGCGGGGCCCCGCGGCCTGGGCGCCCCAGCGAGTGAGCGAGCGAGCGAGCGAGCGAGCGGACGGAGCCGCGGCCGCTGTGCGAGCTGTCCTGCAGCCAGACCCGGCGAGACCGAGCGCCGGCAGGGAGGCGGTGGCCGACGGGCCCCGCCGACCCACCCGCCGGAGAACCGGACGCCTCCGGACGCCGAGCCATGGTGAGTCCCGCGTCGCATCCCCGTGTCCCCTCGGCCTTCGCGCAGCCCGCTCCGGGCCCCCAGCCCCACGCCTTCTGTGCCCGCCTAGCGCTGCTGGGCGCCCCGAAGTCTCTCCACCCTCCCATCCCCCTTCTTTTCTTCTATCTGCCGGCCGCTGCCTGCCCAGTCCCCACCGTACTCGGTGACCCTTTCTTTCTTCTCTGCAGCCTCCCCATCTTTCCGTGATCTTTGCACACAGCCCACCCCCAGCCTTCTCTGTCCTACCCAGTCTTCTGCTCCCGGGGCTTCCCTCCGCTCCCCATCCCAGTTTTTCACTCCTGGAGACCCTCTGCGAGTTGGTATGGCGGCAGCCCTGGAAAGGGCTCTGCATCGGGTCATGAGAACTGACCTGCCTGGAACCACCATTTTCCATCCCTGTCCCCAAGCCTGTGAGGTGGGCCCACCCATCCGGCCCTGAGGGACTCGTCACAGCTGTGGCTGGGCCAGGGCCAAAGGGCATGTCCAAAGGGAAATTCCCTCACAGAAAGGGGGCAGTTTGAGGGTGAGTAGTGGGTGTTCCGCAGTACCAGTGGGCGTGACGTATCCAGAGCCAAAACCAGAGTTTTGGGACAAAGTTCCCCAAGGCTCATGCCGCTGCAGGGAACAGGAGCCTGCCTCAGAGGCCTCCCGCTGCAAGGAGGGAACTGGATGGAATCCTATGCACGAGGCAGAGGCTCCGAGGGCAGCGACTCAGGGTACCAGAAGCCCGTGTCAACGGGATCGAACGCTAAGCCTGGAACTTTCCGGCCAGACGTACCCTGAAGAACTACAACAGGAGTGGGCTCTGCTAGCGAGGGCGCCCACTGTACAGACAGTGCAGCCTACCGCACTCACTGCAGAGTGGAGGAGGGGGAGAGGCCCTGCCCGGGGCGATGCCTACGGAGAGAGCCCGGGAGGCATCACCCTGCTCAGGGGGTTGGAGCTAGACAGGAACTAGGCCAGTGAGAGCTGACTCAGTCTCGCCTGTCTTTCTGGTCCCCGCCGACCAGAGGCCTGGTGTCTTGGGCTCCTGCCCACCTCCGCCTGCTCCAGACCCCTCCTCCCCTCCTGCTGAGGCCGTTTCCTGTGGCTGTGACTCTTGTTCAGCCATGAGCTCACCGCCCCTAATGGGTTGCAGCTGCTTCGCTGCTCAAGCTGTAGCGCCCCGGATCCTAACTTCAGAGCCCAGGCCCACTCAGCCTCACCCCTACCCTTTTCCCCCACCCACGTACACAGTCCGGGCAACACTGAGGGTCTGTCTGCTCGCCCACACCTTGGGGCCGAGTCTGCGCGCTGTTAACACAGAATGCTGGTCTCTGGGGTGACTGAATACCCTAATCTTCTCAAACAGCCGGGATTAAGCAACTCTGGCCGGAGAGATTTAGGAGTAAAATAAGCAATTTTTGTCTTGGAGCGAAACCAGGACTGTTTGCTATGGGTTGAGAGCTTGGTAAATATTGCAGAGTGCCCCGTTCTTCGTTTACAACAAAGACGTTTGAGAAAAGAAACTAAAAAGCCATCTTGAAAGATTTGCAAAGAAACAGACCCGAGGAATTTTGTTTAGGGAATGAGCTGAAGAAAGTTACCCCAATGATTCACTTAGGGAAGTGGGTCAGAATGGGACATGGCTTAGTCTTTGAGACTAGATAAAATGTTTAGTCTTTGAGGTCCAGGTAAAATTCAACGAAATTGCATAGCATCAAGACTTCTCCTCTCTTCTGCAAGAGTTCCGTTTGTCTCTATCTTCTTTCACGTGGCCCCAGCCAGTTCATGACAGCCAATCCGGCAGGATCAGTGAATGGAAGAAAGGGATGCCACAAAGAACTGAGACAGCCACAGGCTTCTTGTCTTCTTTCTTCCCACCTCTCAGTCAGCCATCTCTAGGATGCCATGGTTTGTGGGTGGGCACACCTCCACTTATGATAAAGGTATCTGGATGGTGAGTTCTGGGAAACTCTATCAGCTAGATGGCTATGTAGAAACCCTTCCCCATCTACCAGAATTCTTGACCATCAGCGAGATCAGGTGCCCAACCTGTGCCGGTGAATCCATGCAGTCACCCCAATTTACAAGTACCTGGAACAATCCTGACCAGAGTCATTCATAACAAAGTCTCCCTGCATCTCTAAAGCCAAGGTCTCAGAGCTTAAATGTGAAGCCAGGGTAAGCCTGGAGGTACTGACTAGCCAAACCCCATTCCTATCCTTTGGCTCATTCAGCTAGCATTTTCTGATTACCCGCTGTGCTCATATGATCTAGGACATAGCTATCTGCAGACCAGCGAACTGCCCAAGAGCCATGTTAGTGTAAGCTCTAGTTATCTATAGCTTGGTCTTGTCTTTCCCAGGAGCCTGAGCCAGTAGAGGATTGTGTGCAAAGCACACTGGCTGCCTTGTACCCACCCTTTGAAGCCACAGCCCCGACCCTGTTGGGCCAAGTGTTCCAGGTGGTGGAGAGGACTTACCAGGAGGATGCGCTGAGGTACACGCTGGACTTCCTGGTACCTGCTAAACACCTGCTTGCCAAGGTCCAGCAGGAAGCCTGTGTGAGTGGCTATTAACCCTTTTCTGTCAGGCTAATTTCCACCCACTTAAGAGACACAGTCTTCCCAATCCTGTTCTCCACATTTGCTGCCCTCCCACTGACTGTGGCCACTCAAACACTAACACATATACAGGTATATTTATTTTCCTTAACTATAGACTCTTAACAAACATCAACTTCCCCCCAAAAAGACCCTGACTTTTTCAGAACAAGTTTCAAACATTACCTCCTTGTGAATGTCTTAGGATACTCCCTCAGACTCAGACGTGATTCAGAAAAGTCTTCACTCTGAAGATAGAAACACCATCAGTCTTTGATTCCTCCAAGGCAGTGGCATCTGGTGATGCTGTACTGACTGGGTCCTTACCTTCCCACATACGCAGCTGGCTTTCTAGGAAAGCTTCCTTCCACCAAAGGATCAACGACTTTAGTTCTTTCCTCTGCCACGTGGTCTCCTTTCCTGTCCCCTAGGGGTTTTAACCCGCCAGCCCTGCCTCGTGTAGGCTCATCCTCACAATGCCCCTCCCACTGCGTGCTGGTTTCTTCAGCAGAGGCCTTGAGTATAGCATCTCCTTCTTTCTTTCCAGGCCCAGTATAGTGGATTCCTCTTCTTCCACGAGGGCTGGCCACTCTGCTTGCATGAGCAGATAGTAGTACAGCTAGCAGCCCTTCCCTGGCAGCTGCTGCGCCCTGGCGACTTCTACCTGCAGGTAGTACCCTCAGCAGCCCAGGCTCCCCGTCTGGCACTGAAATGTCTGGCCCCAGGAGGTGGACGGGTCCAGGAGCTGCCAGTGCCCAATGAAGCCTGTGCTTACCTATTCACCCCCGAGTGGCTGCAAGGCGTTAACAAGGACCGGCCAACAGGGCGCCTCAGCACCTGCCTTCTGTCTGCACCCTCTGGAATTCAGAGGCTGCCCTGGGCTGAGCTCATCTGCCCAAGATTTGTGCACAAGGAGGGCCTCATGGTCGGACATCAGCCAAGTACACCGCCTCCGGAATTGCCCTCTGGAACTCCGGGGCTTCCTAGCTCTCCACTCCCCGAGGAGGTGCTGGGTACCCGGAGTCCTGGAGATGGACACAATGCTCCTGCCGAAGGTCCAGAGGGAGAATATGTAGAACTGTTGGAGGTAACACTGCCTCATATGAGGGGAAACCCCGTAGATGCTGAGGCCTCAGGCATCTCCAGGACCCGCACAGTGCCCACCCGTAAGAGTAATGGAGGGAAGGGCCGGCACCGGAGACACAGGGCATGGATGCACCAGAAAGGCCTAGGGGCTCGGGACCAGGATGGGGCACGCCCACCTGGTGAGGGGAGCAGCACTGGGGCCACTTCGGACTCACCCCCAGGAGCTGAGGCGGACCCAGATGCAACCTCCCTGGAGGCATCTGAGCCCCCAGCAGAGGCTCTGGGGGAGGCCTCTGAATCCTGCCTCCTGGCAGGGGAGGCTGGGGGACCACCTGGTACCCCTCGAAGAACAGGCAAAGGAAACAGAAGAAAGAAGCGGGCTGCGGGCAGAGCTGCCTTGAAAGGGGACGGTAACCCACTCAGCGCCAGGGACAAGGAAGCGACTAGACATCAGGAAGCCCTTGTTCGCCTGGCCTCACCCAGTGAACAGGAACCTGCAGAATGCAGCCCGCTTAAGGAGAAAAAGGATTCTGAAAAGCCAGAGTCTGATCCAAAAGAGGAACTCAAGCCAGCAGATGGAAAAGAGCCTGCATCCCCAGAAGACGGCGGGCCTCCAGAAGAGGGGGTCAGAGAGAGTGAACAAGAGGAGTCGATCCCGGTGTGTACAGCAGGTGAGATGACAGGCCCAGGGGCAAGGGCCAGGGCAGGCTGAGCCTCGGGAAGGGGACTGGAGGAGAAGCTGTGGTTTAGCTGGGAACAGAATAGAGTAACTCTGCCTCTATCTGCACAGGATCCACAGGTCCAGGGTTCATCCTATCTGACCCCCCAAAACAGCCTCTGGAGACTTTGCAGGATGTAAAAGACAGCATCCCAGAAGAAACACCCCCAGTTTCCATCTTGGATGACCCACCTGTAGCTTGGGACTTGATGGCATCAGGATTCTTCGTTCTGACTGGTCAGTGGGCATCTGTGAATAAGAGGAAAGGGGCTGGGGAGATGGCTCAGCTGGTAAAGTGCCTGCTTCACAAGCAGGAGGGCTGAGTTCAGATCCCCAGCACCCACAGGAGAGCTGGAAGGAAAAGGGAACTGAATTTCTGGTGTTCATTGCCCAGGCAGTCTAGCTGAGCCAGAGATAATCCAGGTTCAGTGAGAGTTCTTGTGGAAAATGATAGCAAAAGAGCCTACATTGACCTCTGGCCTCCACACACATGTACACGTGTATGCACACACAAACAAGGACATGCCAAGCACACACACAGGGAGGGTGGGAAGGAGGGAAGGAGTTGGGGAGATAGTCAAAGATTGCTCCCAGCCGGGATAGCCTGGCCATTTTCTGTCTTCAGGAGGGGTCGATCAGACTGGGAGAGCTTTGCTGACGATCACGCCTCCGTGCCTGCCTGAGGAACCCTCACAGTCCGAAGAGACATTGAGCAGCGCCCTTCGTTACCTGCACTCGCTGCTGAGGTAAGCGCAGCCAGCTTCAGCACCCTGTGCCTTCGCGCAGTCGCAGTCGGGGGAGCTGCTTTCTTTCTCAAGGCACTGCCTGCGACTTCCAGGCCTCGGTTTCCAGGCTGTCCACCTTGACCAATTCTGACTTCCAGGATGGCTTGGTGGTTTTCAAAATCAACACTGCTGGCTCTCTCGCCTCTGCCGTAGAGCCCAGATTATCAGTGTGCAGAATCATTCAGACAGCAAATACTTTGTGACGCTGAGCACCTCAGATAAATGCTGAGGCCTTCGATGTACCCATCATAGCATCGAGTTCTAGTCCTCCCACCCAGTAGCCATGTCAGTGTAGGCTTGTGATTGTTAGGTCGCCTGCTGGGCACATGTCCCAGACCTCGGCCGTTTGCTCATTGCTTCCCAAATATAGTAGCGTTAACTTCTGAAGGCTGTTAGCACCAAGCCAGATGACCTGAGCTTTCTTC